CAAGCATGTTTTAGTCTATTTTTTAAGATCATAAATATGGAATACATGGTCTTAAGTTTCTTCATTATGATTTTCATGGAACAAACGCTCCAATATTGACTGGTAGACAAAAATTTAATTAAATATTTGGAAAATAAGTGGAATTTTCATAGTCAATATAATTCCTAACATGCCTGTAAACATCATGAATTCAAGGCATGCCTAGGCTTCATAGGGAAACCCTATCTCAAAGAGAAAGATAGAGAGAGGGATGGATGGAGAGAGAAACAGAGAGAGAGACACACAGAGAGAGAATGAATGAATGAATTTCCCAAAAAGAAATTTTTTTTCTGAAATCTAGAAGAAATTCCTTTTGGGGACTGCAGGATAATTAGGGCATCTTAATGAAATGAAAAAAGAATAATTATGTTGCTCATTACCATTGCAGCTTAGAAATGGAGCAGTGTTTTTCTAGCACAATGGAAGAGGAACTGTAAGTATTACTTAGCTATTTCCACATTTGAAACTCTCCCTTCATGCTGGAAGGTTTATCTTAGATAGGACATGCAACTGTCTGTGTGGATGCACAATATAATCACAATGAATACATGCATTTGATCAATCAATAGAGAGTAAGTGGCATTTGCCAGTGATCTTTTATGTTTTTTATCCCTCAGCTGTGTTATTCACTAGCATTCAACTTGTACTGTCAGTATTTTGTATCAATGTCAGAAAGTGGTCATCTTGTCTTTAGTAAATAGAATAATGAGAGTTAAAAGCTGAACAAGACAACAGCTATTGAGACAATTTTAGTCTCCAGAAGACAGACATTTTGTCATAGATTGATAGCTGTTGTACTTTAAAATGAATTATAAAAATCCATTTTCAGAGTATAAGCGTTGTGAATAACAATTAAACAGCTTTACTCTGCCAAGTCCCCAAGTAGTCAGTCACATCTGTGTTCCTTTTGCCCAAAGTACGATGTTGTTGTAAATTAAATACTGGTTTTATCAACTGATGCTTCTACCCAGCATTTTGTTTCCTTAAATGAAAAGCAATTAGAATATATTGCAATATGATGGTTGAGAAAGGAAGCCAGAAGTAGGAAGATGAGGCTGGCATTTCCTCTGCAGCACAGAACCAAGCATGCTTATCATGGCAGCACCTGCGGGAGTGGAAGCATGAAGGTCTACATGACAATACTCTTGACCTCAGTCTTTGAACTTACACCTGAATCAATTCTGCGGCATTGAGTGTACCATGAAGTCTGGAGGAATACCAATGCGAGTGACTAAGTAACATTTCAGGGCTTCTTGCAAATATATTTTAATCATAAAAGCAGCTTAAATGTCCACTGAGGGATAAGTAAAGAAAATATGGCATAGTTACAAAATGATATTAATGAGGTATAAAGAAGAGTAAAATGTCATCTCTAAAAACAAACTGAACCTGGGATAATTATATAAAGTAAAATAAGCAAAACTCAGAAAGTCAAATTTTCAAGTTTTCTTTCATATGTAAAATCTAAAAAATAAAAAATTAGAAAGGAAACACAAGCTTATATGAAAGCATAAAGGAAGCTATTACAGGAAAAAATCAGGGAGGGGATGAAGAGAGGAACAGGGAATCCATAAGGGAGTGAGCTTGCTAAGTGTAGGTTACACACATGAATAAATATGTCAAAACTTCCCACCGTGTATAACTAATAGGACCCAATAAAACAAACATGCAAAGGAGGTAAGAAAAATGTTAAAGACACTATAATGTAAATACTATTTTTTGCCTAAAAATATCCCAGGATCTACATCCCAACACTTCTGATCTCATAAATAAATTCTATAAAGTTGCAGGATACAAAAATAAGTAGCATTTTTTCATATGCTAGCTATTCAAAAAAGAAATCAAGAAAATAATCCAATATAGAATAACTGAAAATATATACTCAAGAATATGTTTACCCAAGGAGCTTGAAGCTCTTTTTACTTGAAAATATAAAACACTGTTAAAAAAAAATTGGTGAATAAACAAAGAAATGGGAAGATGTCCTGCGTTTATGCATTGAAAACTCAATATTGGTAACATGGCCATGTTTACCCATCTGGGACTCTTCAGAGACCCTGCAATCACTATTGAAATTCTAATGATATTCAACGTAGGTCTATAACATATAATTTGAATTGTACATAATTCCATGAAAAATCTGGAATAGCCAAACTGATTATGAGCAAAAAGTATGTGTCTAGAAGCATCACAATGATGCTAGGTATACTTTAAAGCTATTATAATAAAAACTGACTAGCATAAAAACAAGAATACAGGCTAACTGAACAGAATATGGAGCTCAGAAATACATCTATGCTTTTGCAAACAGTTGCTCCTTGCACATTTCCAAGAGCGCATAAAAGAATGGCTACCTCTGATGCCCGGAATAGTAGATACCTACAAAGCAATGAAATTATGTGTTTTCCTTATGCAATAAATAAAAATAAATTTTAAATGAAGTTTTAAAGGTCTGAAAACGTAAAATTTTTAGAAATTTGAGGAAAAAGTTTGTGAATACTATGGAAAGCTGTAGTTATAGGTCACTGTATGATAGGGACCTGTTTAGCTGTATGTCTCCTAGAAAGCATATAATCCGTAGTTTAGACACTCATTGTTAGACTAAAAATTTTAAAGCACCAAAAATAAAACTAAGCAGTTTATTTAGAGTAAACAAAATATGAAGTGGGCGAAAATCATACATGTGATTAGAGTTTAACATCCAAAACTAGAAATACTTCAGCTCAATAACCAACCAAACAAAAATAATGTGAATAAAATGATTAAATGAAGTTATAATATTCTCAATTGACAACATAAAAAAAATCTATCAGTTTTGTGAAAAATGCTCAATGTCATTAATCATCAGAAAAGTACAAATTGAAGACACAAGGAGATACTGATTCACAAATGTCAGCATGACTGTTATCAAGAATACCAAGGATAAGAAGTGTTCGAAAGAGGTGAAGAAGAGTAACATCTTGCACACTGTTATAAGGAATGTAAACTGATATCGAACACATGGTGGAAGTTTCTCAAAAAAATAAAACTAGACCTGCTATATGATCCAATAATTTTATTATTTGGTATGTGACTAGAAATTTAAACTGTTATGTGAAAGTGTGATCTGTATTCTCCTATGGATTACAGAATTCTTCAAAATACTCAAGACATGAAATGCACTTAGATGTTCACTGATAGAAAAATGGATAATGAAAATATTATTTATAAGTGCTGTGTGTGTGGGTGTGCTTGTGTGTGACTGAACACTTTTCAGTCTTACACAAGAAAGTATTCTGTCATTTATAATATATAGAAGAACTTTCACTTGTTAAGTGAAATTAGGCAAAGAAAAATGCTACATGATCTCATAAGGGTAGAATGATATTTAACAAAGGCTGATGCACAGGAAGTGGGGGTTCGTGGTTAATCGAAAAAGGGCTGTTAATGAAAAATCACAAACTTCATTTAGGTAGAATGTTAAGTTCTGTATATTCATTTTAAAAAATGGTGACTATTGATGATTTAACACATACTTAGAAATTGCTGAGAATGGATTTTTAAATACAATAATACCTCAGTATATGAATTCTTCTGTTTGCAAACAATTTGGTTTGCAAACAAAACATTTAGCAAACTTTGTTTCCACACACAAGTTTTACTTCCGTGGTTATACCCATGCAACCACAGTTATTTTCCCCAAAATTGTGAAACAAATAGATTGTAAACCAAGGCACTACTGTATCTCACCACAAGAAATTTGTATTTTTGCCATATTAAATTCCTTTTCTTTTAATCTCGAAATGGGTCTACATCAAAAGCCACTATATTTTGGAAGTATAATTTTTTAACTTTCAATTTTCTGACCGTAAGTTCCCCTCTTCCAATTATAATTAATTTACTTTCCTATCTTGAAATAACTTAGATTTATTTGAAACTATTCATGTATTTTATGGAGTAATTATTAACTATGTACCGTATATCCTCTTTTGATGGTTTATGTATTTATATGGCTTATTCTACATACTATTAATAAATTGCATCAAATTAAATATATTAATGGTATTAAAGCATTGTTTTAGCCTAGGAAAACTGCTCACATTTTTAACACTTCTGTTGTTTTTAATGGCTATCTGATTTCATTTTGGACTAGTAGAATGGAATACTTGAGACGTGGTAGATTAAACTTAACAGACATGTTTCAGCATATGGGTTCACAGGCTGTGAAGGCTACGGTCAAGGTGTAGGCACTTGTCAGCAGCCTTCTGTGGCATCTCCCACAAAGTAGGAACAAAGTGGTTGAAAAGATATAAGAATGGCCCTCAAACACTTTTGTAATGACAGAAATCCCAACCATGAGCATAAATCTCTAGACACAAACACCTAAAGCTTACCATTTAATTTCAGCAAGTCTTAGCAAAAGCTATAAACCATACCACGTAGTTTGTTTCATGTACCACTTAACATTTACATCATATTAAATAAGCTAATATTTTAAAAACTCTAATTCAATGAAATTCACTCAAATTGCATAATTTTGTTGTTTTTGACTAAATATTCATCAATTTTAGCATGATTACATTTATTTTAATGTACTTTCCCTGTGTTAGCATTTAGTCACATATAATGCATTGTAAGTTTAATTTTATTATGTAAGAAGGTGTTCTAAGCCTTACATCTCATTTATAAATTTCATATGCTATTTTGCTTTACCTTTAAAAAACATTTAATATGTATTCCAGAACACTGCTGAAGTAAATCACCTTGAGAACTTTAAATTTTAATTTTAAATATCTAAAAATTTTTAATTTTTTGCTTTTTTAATTTTTATAATTTTGAAGATTTTGTATCTCATAAATTTATGAGATAAAATGATCTTTGATGCTGGCATCTCAACGATTCTTACTGTGATGTTTTATTTCCTTGTTTCTCCACAGAAATATAATGAAGAAATAATAGGCCTCAAGCAATGCACAATTTACCTTACAAATCTGGAAATATTCTGAAGTCAAGGTTTCCTGAATCTCCTCTCTCAGAACTCCAGCTGTCCCTCCTGGATGCAAGGGACCACTACCAGTCCCACCGCTGTTACTGCCACTGCTGCTGCCACTGCCCGGTGAGGAGGCAGTCAAGCCATCCAAATTTTTTCGGAAATTAAACTTCTTCATTTTAAGAACTGTTGAGAAAGTCAAAGGAAAAGAGAAAGGGTTGACTAACTACATAGAATCATACCAGGTAAAATCATTTATTTTTCCATATTCAAGGCAGTAATAGCCAGCCCCATTTTATGAGCATTGGCTGAAAAGTGGAAAAGAAGAAAGGCCTCGTTTTGTCAAATTTTAATTCTAAAATACATATCTTCATAAAATAAAGACCATTCCTAGAGCAACTGTATTCCTTCTTCATACATCAGATTTTCAAGGGCTTTATCCCCAGCTGTAACTACGCTTTGACAGCACTGGGGTCAAAATAAAAGGCAGTGTCGTCCTCGTCATTAGTATTATATCATCATTATTATACAATCAAACCAGAATCAAAAGAACAAGACCCTCCGCGTCTCTCTTCAAGGCCGGATTTCCTTCTAAAGGTTCAGCTAGAATAATTTTTATTTCCAGAAAAACGTTGTTGGGGGGGGGTGCTGCAATTTACTCTGCCACCATCTTCCAGGCGACCCCCCCCCCCAACCCTCTGTCATCTTTAACCCTGCCTTTTTTCTCGGCAAGAAATTTGGGAGGCAAAGACGCCTTTTATTCCACTCCCCATTCCCAACAGTCGGATCCCAAAACATCTGCGGCTGACAGCACCACAGCCGACGGGAGGGACGAGCGGGGACGCCGGCCGCCTCCGCGCTGCCCCGCACCCTCATCCCGGCCCCTCCCGCCCGCGCCTCTAGACCCCCACCCCACCTCCTCCCACCCCAGCCAACCAGCCGCTCGCAGCCCCCGCGGCGTCCGCCCGCCCGCCCCGGCGCTCTCCGCAGCACGACAGCGGCCCTCAGGGGACGCGAGGCGGTGGCGGCTGCGGCGCAAGTCCCGCCTGAGCCGGCCGGGCGCGCGGAGTCAGGCTCCCGCCGTCGCTCCCCGGGGCCGAGCACCCAACGCGCGAGCACACAAACACCCTCAGCAGACGGCCGCGCTCCGGGCCGAGCGCACACACACGCGCGCCCACGGGCCCCTACAGACCCTGCGCGGGCGCCCACACGCATGCCAGCAGGTGTGAGGGAAGCGCGGCTGGACGGCGAGCGCGGCGTCCCGGACGAACGTCTAAGGACCCGGATTTAGGCGCCCGCCTCACCGCCGCTAGCCGCCTGCCAATCCGGGAAGAGAAGGTCGCGGAGGGCGGCGGGCTTACAGGCGTGGGTGCGCCCGCCTAGGGCAGCTCCGCCGGTGTCTCTGGTCTCGGCGCCGGGCGCTCTCCAGTATTAGAAGAGTGACCATCATTTTGTTTATAAATTCTGTATTTTATAAGAATTCAAGCCTCTGGCAATGCCTTTGGAATATCTTTTAAGAAATTATCAATGGTTTATTTTGACCAAATTTCCTAAAGTGAGTTCATTGGAATTGTAATTCCTCCATGATAGATTGTGAATGTCAACTTTCAGTCTCCCAAAATTGCCTCTTAATTGCCTTCTACCTCTTGCAATACATTAGAAATTACATTCCACTTTCTGTTAATATGTATTAAGTGTATGGGACAGTAATAAAATATGCTTCAATATGCATTTTATAAATATAATTTTAATCCACAAATTCTAAAACCTATTTTCTGGGTATGCAAAATGAAAGAATTGTCTTTAAAAGATATTTGATTATTCCTATTTTAAGTACTCATTTGGCTGCTTTTCATTTAATCTTTATTTTCATGTTTCTAAAATTTTATATAGGTTATTTGGAGCCTGAAACATTTTGCATTGAAAGAGTGATGACTAAGGATATCATAGAATGGCAGTACTAAAGTGTCATTAAAAATATTTCTATGAGAAAATATAGGAGATAGCACAGGAATAGTTATTTCTGGTGGAGTACATACAGTATTTCTAAAAATGTAACCTTTTTTTCTACATATGATTAAATTTTATCGTGACATTTTGGAATTCTTAGAGTTAGGTTTGCTTTTAATGAAACATTGCTATTTGAAGAAAAAAGATTAAATAGAAAGATAATTATTATGGGAAATATATTTTGGCAATTCCATAAGAAAATCATCTGATATAAACCTCAGAAAAGTCTCTGTGAAGGGAATTATATCTATGCTGAGAGCCGAAGGATGAGTTTTCAGATACACAAGTGAAGAATCAGGACAAAGATGACAATTTTCCAGGAAAAAAAACCCAAAATGTTCAAAAGATAGATGGTGAGAATTTTATGTTCCATGACTAGAAATGTTTTGAGTTTTGGTTGGGTTGAATGGCTGGAAGAGAAGATGGCAAGAGATATATCTGGGGCTGTAATCAGGGGATATATATAAATGGTCTTATAAGCCACTTAGAGTAGTTTGAAAATTAAAGTCAATAGGCAGCTAGACTTTAAATGGTTTTAGACAGATGTAATTTGATTAAATTTAAATTTTAAAAATATCCTATTCAGGAATGGAGAAATGATTGGAGAGTGAGTAAAAAATTATACTCTGGGTAAAAATGATAATACTTTGTGGGGAAGAGTTAAGCTGTTTTATTTTAAAAATAGAGGAAGAAGTGGAACAAATATAAAGAGAAAATTCAAGGATGGTATCGAGGTATTTGTCTTGAAGAACTGTGTATAATAGTGCCTGTTACTGAAAGAGAGCCAAAGATTTAAGTTTTGAAGTAAAGCAGTGTTCAATTTTAGGTGTGTTGAACTGTAAAGGTTCATTACATTCAGATGGTAATTAAAGATGAGAAGAGGGATATAGCTGAGCAGCACAGCGCCTACCTGGCAAGCACACTGTTCTGAGTTCAGTGCCTGGTACCCTCACGCCAAAAAAATTAGATTCCCAGTTTTCAGTGAAAGAATTCATAATGAAATTATCCTACTGCAGTATTCTTGCAGGGATCTGTGAAACAATTTTGGTTCTGTAGGTGGGCAATGTGCCATCTAGTTTGTCACAGTTCTTATCCTTTTTAACTCAGTGATTACCATGGATTTTTAAATTCATGACCACATATTACATAGAAATAGATTAGGAGTTTAAGACAGGATACCACGTGGTATTAACATTTAGGATAGGACAATATGAAAAGACCAACAAATCAATTTAAGATTCAGATATTCTTTATTATTTTGGGCAGAATCTTTCATGATTTTCATACATGCTTAAGCCATGATGAATGGGAGAAAGAGAAATGAATTGTGATGTCCAGAAGAATTACTGAGCATTGTTTAGGTGCTGTTATATGAATTTATTGTCATTGATTTTTCTATCTAAAATAATTTTTTGAAATTTCATGATCCATAATTTTATATTTTAAAAAGTTCATTATAAATAACAGAAATTTATTCTGATAAACAAATATAATCCTACTATTCTGCTGAATTAGTTGGTTTTATAACCAACTAGAAGAATCTTGCATATAGTTTCATTCCCTAAAAAAATATTTTAGTGATTCCCTTATGGTAAATGAAAAAATATTTCAGTGTACCAACAAGCTTGGAAAATATTGAAGATTTGGGATAACTATTTGTGTAGTACTGGTTCTAAAAAGTTTTGTAGGAAAAAATATTTAACTTTATTTAATTTAGAGTTTCCCAAACTTTAAGGAAATGAGTCACTCTTTCTGTGGAATGTCTTATATCTCCACTAGTTGAAAATGGAATACACTTTGGTAAAAGCAGCTCAGTCAAACCCTAGAGACAAGAGGTTTTTCTTTTGTTTTGTGCTTTTGCTTATTCACTATTGTTAGCTACTAAGTGGTAACTTAAACATTATACTTTATTAGAAGTAGTTATATCTTTATGGAAACTATATCTATAAATGGTGTTTTACATATCACTGTAGAAAAAAACTGCAAAATACTAGTATGCAACCTGTTTGTTTTTCTTCTTTCCAGACTATATCGTAGAATGCAAAATAATAACAAATTCCCAATGATTGTCAGAAAAATCATAAAACATACTATTAATAAATGGGTTAATGTTTTGCCATTATATTAGATATTATGTAAGTATAATTTCTAATCTGCACAATTATTCAGAAAGATCAGGCTTACTGAATGGAGGCTAATACTTTGTTTTTAGATGAGAAAATTTAGAATAAATCCACTATTAATATCTAATCTGTATTTATTTTTTCTGGGTCACTGAGAATTTAGTATCGGGGAGCCTAAAATTACTTAAATTTTCACTTTTATCTAATTTTAAGTAGTTTTTAAATATTCAAATATTCTTCATTGCTTTGTGCTGACTCTTTCATGATTTTCATGTGTATTTAAAAATAAACTAAAACTAGATAATGTGTGCATCAAAATAAACTAGTCAGGTGTGGTAGCACACGCCTGTAAGCCCTGCACTTTGGAGGCTGAAGCACAGGATTACCATAAAATACAGGCCAGGTGGGGTTATATCAGTGAGTTTAAGGCTAGCAAGTTCATAGCAAGATCCTTTCTGAAAAACAAACAAGAAAACTAACCACAAAGAAAGTGAACACTAGGTGAGTTTAACCTGGCACGATTACTTTTATTTAAAAAGACTAGGAGAAACTGAGCACTAATAAATCTCTGATCATATCAGGTTATTTCATAATTAACCATAATATAGACACATGAAAAAGTTAAACTAGGTATTATGAAAAATATATGCCAGATATCAGAGTAGAATAAGATCAGATCCACAAGGTCCCTTTAAGAATACCTTGTTGGTCTTACAATTGTGTTGTTCATTACATGAGATAACCACAGAATATATGGACTATAGCTAATGAATTAGGGTTCCGCAGCTTATCAGTTTTCTGGAAGATGGCAATCACTAGAATGAACTTCGTTTTAAATTAAAGGTCCCACTGTACTTTTGTTTGGGAGTAAAATCAGAGATTTCATTGTCATAAGCAAATTAAATCAGGTATGTACTTTCAAATTCGGTTGAAACAAGTTCACTGCATCAATTTTGTGGTTGTAATTTAAGTCGATTTCAAATTTTCAGATGTTCATATACACAACAAATAATGACAAATCTGATTTTTATGCAGAAATTTGTTCTTAAACCTGATTTTTAAAAAAAATTGCATCTCATTTAGCGCTAATAGAGGGAAGCAAAGTAGTGCATAAATAAAACCAAAAATTGTACAAATTTGAGCTTAACTCCTGAATTTCTTTACTTCAGTCTCTAATAACAAGTTAATTTAATGTTTAGTTTTTAATTGCTGCTTTGAATTAATTTAACAGGTCCACCAAAACTCATCCAGGTCCAGTTGAACATTTAAATGATAGTCCAAGAGATGAAGGGAAAGTAAGCATTATAACATCATTATACATGCTTTTATTTTACTCATTCTTGATAAAAATGTGTTCTCCTCCCTATCTTCCTCTTTTTTCTCCTTCCTCTTCTCCTTTCAAAACATTCAGTGTTACAATTAAATTTGAATGTATGGAGTGAGAAAATGAATGAGTGCATGAATTACTCATGCTTGTAAAGGTCCCTAACTAAATCTTCAGTATCATTTGGAGCTAAATTTGATACTTAATTTGAAACTAGAGGAAGTTAATTGTGGGAAGCCGCCTATGATGGCGCCCATTTCCTGCTTCCGGGTTCTTCCCGGCCTGAACAAGCCTGCCAAATTGTCATGTCTGCCCAGTTACCCGTGACGCTAGCCTATCAGCTTGTTAGACGCGCTTCTCTGTGATTGGATACTGCTTCCCCTTATAAGAGGTTGTTCCTGCCCCCAACGGGCAGAAGAGGAACCAACGTTGAGGGTGGCGGACCTTGTTAGGTCCGGTTCGCTGTACGCAATAAACTTTGAGAGCTGATCCTGCTCGAGTTTGGTCTCCTGTCTCCCGCGGTTCCGGTCATCTGGTGGCCCATACGGGGAAAAAGACAAAAGACTCAGCGACGTGCCTCTTCGGCCGGGAGGTGCGATTGCTGTCGCCTGCGGTACGACGGAGGACCTGGCCCAATAACAACGGAAGGCCCCGAGCGCCTCTTCTCTTCACCCTGATCAGTTACGTGAGATACAGCGGTTCCTGGGACAGGTGAGTACTGGGTTGCCTGGGTTGGGTGGATGCACCTAACAGATTTTGAGCGCCACACGGGTGGACGCCAGTCTTTTTTTTTTCCCTTGCATTTGTTTCACTTTCGCTTCGCCATTGTGGGCAACGCTGCTCGCAAACCCCTCGCTGACTCCCTAAGAGTCCTGCTGCGGACCCGAGGCATCTACATAAACCGGGTCACCCTTTCGAGATTTCTGGATAGTGTTAATGAAATTGCCCCCTGGTTTTGGCCCACGGCTCTCTAACCCTCCCGTCATGGGAGAA